TAATAATAATTCACTACTGATTATTTTTTATTTAGGTGAAATATACTTAAAAGCATATAGACCCCAGGACCACACTGAATTCCGTCATATTAAACATCTTTACTAGAAAGAGAGAAAAAGAAATGGAGCTAATAATAATCAGTGTTATAGGGATTGTGAACCATTCTTTATGGTCACATGTATGGTGGGGAGAATTATGATCCCATTTTACAGATGAGAAAATCAAGGCAAATAGAGTTCACTAAGCCCAAGCTCACACAGTCAGAAACAGTGAAACCTAATTCAAACCCAGTTTTTATCTAATTTCCAAAACCACACACTGTCTACATTACCACATAATGGAATATCTCCTAGTCTGTGTACAATATTTTATTTAGAGTAGTCAAGCCAGAATTTACTTATTAGCCTCTATTACTTACTAGTTACTAGGCCTTGGTTAAGTTACTTTGTTTTGTGTGTCTGAATCTCCTCTGGGGAATGGAGAAAATAACGGTCTCTACCATATAGGGCTTTGGTAAGGATCCCCCTATGTGTTATATGTTAACACATATAAAAGAGCTCAGAACAGTACCTGGCGTGTAGTAGTGATCAATAAAGTTTATTAATTGTTGTTTATATCCGTTACTTCATAGATTGTACTGCAGAGTACATGTCATGACTTTGCTTTCATGCATTAGCTCAGTACAACTGAATAGGGGATTCGAAATAATGTGTATGTTTTTAATTGGTTGCAGTTTTCAATATTTATATATGAAGAATTTTCCCACTTTTCTCCATTGTCTGACAAATTTAGGAAGAAGAAAGGTATCTTTTTAGTAAGATTGTTTATAAACTTTCATTTCAGTGGCGGAATTATTTTGAAAATACAGATAGAAGCATTGCTGCTTTGACCACGGTAGGGAGGGAACTGATTCCTCGATCTCCCTCCACCCCACCGCCCTTTAGTACCCCTACCAGCTCATTATTGGGGCACTTCTGGGGAACCCTGTATTTCCACGTAACACAGACTGAGATCCACCAATCCACAAATCACAGGACAAAACACACTGGGCAGTGACTGAAAAATAATATTAATTCGTAGTTGCTGTGATAAGCATGTGTCTTAGAAGTTCCTCTTCCCAACCTCAAATTGTCACCATTCAGTTCTCATCGCCTATAGTCACTGTCAATGCTTTGTTTAACTGGCAGGGTCTCCAGTTTGGTACCAGAGAACTGGAGGAGATGGGAGCCATGTTCTGCTTGGGCCTCCTCATCTTGGAACTCAAATCTTCGAGCTGTAGCCATCAGCTCCTGACTCGAGCTGCAACTCTGCTGAATGCTGAGGAAGAGGCTCTGGACCACCACCTCCAGAGGTAAGATGCTCGCAGACGCGTGAGAGATATCTGGACCTTTGTGTTCCAATTGCTGAATATCTCAGTAATGAATGTCAAGTGGACCAAGGGGTCTTTACAGAGGAAAAAATATGGAAGAGTTGCCAGATGAAGGTGACTGCAGTTAGGCTCTGCTGGTAAGCCGGACTGGGACATCCTCACTTCCTACGGAAGATGCGGAGGATGCTGTCTGCTTGTACACAGACACGCAAATATAAAATACACGTATTTATAAATATATATTATTACTGAATTTTGATTATGATAAAGAAGATGCAGCTTGGTTACACACGTGCACATCTACATACTCTTATATTTGTCAGTTATGCGTTTATATGTGTACAGATAACGTTTTTGAGCCATTACTCAGCAAAAAATGGCAGTCTCACTGCCGTTGTCTAGGCACTTGGGGGCAAGAAATGTTTTAATCTTCCCATTCTCAGAAGATGAGAGGAACCACTTGAAGATGACTAATGCTTTATGACTCGCAGCCACAGCAGGGAAAGGCTGGATCTGAGAGTGGGGCGGAGTATTAAGGAGACAAGCGAGAGAGAACCGTTATCCAAATGAGCCCTTTTGATGCCTCTCCCTGTAGACAAACATTTTAGAGTTGGCCACAGCAATTCGTGGGGAAGAAGGGAGGAAATAATGGCCATGTGAGAAGAGAGAGGAGCAAGAGGACTCAAAGGAGGCTAAGTCTGAGCAACAGAATGGGGGGGGCACGAAGCTGTCACAGGAAGTGCTGGCCGGAGCCTGCTGGTACACGAGAGGCATCCCTCATGCACTTCATGTCCACAGGCAGAGAGAAAGCCATTAATATTGGGGCCATTTTGTTTCTAGCTCGTTTTCATTAATTTTTCTCCCGCCACTGTTAGGCTGATGTTCCAGTTTGACTTCTCACCAAATGCCCAGTCAAGCCTAGAAAGGTCTGGCAGGGTACATTAATACTGCTTTGGAAATCCCTGGTTTTTTGAGACTTAAATTATCTAAATGCGGTAATTAACTTGCTCATCACACTGGGCTATAGATCACGGATTGTTGAGACCTAAATAAATCCAGACCTCTCTCCTCCACAGAGATACTGTTGCTGATTTCTTTTGTTTTGACATCACAACCACTTCCTTCCGCCGCTGCTCCCTTCAACTCCCCTCGGTGCCCCAAGGATCGGTGTGTTTGGCATCCTTGTGGTGTTTGCAGACTCTCCCTCTGACAGCGAGTGCTTCCACCTGCCAGGATATAAATTTCAATTTGTCTTTTCATCTTTTCCTGTGCTGAGCTATCTTGGGTGCAGGCAGGCTTGACTTTTCTTTCTTTCTTTCTTTCTGTTTTTCCCCCTCTCTCCTCTGCTGCTCATTGAGGGAAGATTAAGCAGAGCTGGCATTGCTCGCTTTCCCCAAATTGATGGTGCCCGTCTGTTTGATCCAATGCAGCAAGGATTAGCTGCCTGTAAACTGGAACAAGAAGAAATCTATCAAAGAAATGCCTTTTCTAATTCAAGTCTAAAGAATTCGGTGTCAGACTTCAAATACAATGGCTGCTATGTGGGTTATCATAAGGAGATAGGATTACCTGCTTCTGCTCTCCCCACGCCATCCCACACAACTGACTATTCATTTTTCAGTTGCAAACTGTCCAGGGGTACTGAAGTTAGAAGTCCTCCCATGACCTCTGACCCTTCTTAGGGTGGAACAGCTCCCTAAAGGCAGGACACCTGAACGAAGGATGTAATTACTATGTGTGCTTTGAATAGATTTGAATTAAATTTGGCAGGTGTGGTGTTTGAGGGAGGGTGGGAGGAGGGAAATTGCCCATTTTATCCAGACATTTGTATCACGATGTATTTTCCTATTCACTAGGAAACAGTTGACCACAACAGATTGTGGCTCCTGTTCCAAAGACCTGAAGACTACATGATTGAGAGGAAAATTATCCTGAAAATTTCTTGACCCCAAAATATTCCAGTCAATAAGCTTATAATCATGAAGAGATGAGAGAGAGGAAATTAATAACGTAAAATCTATTGAATTGAAACCAGCAACAGCCTGTTTGTGTACCATTTGATTAGTTTCTGATGAAGAGGGTTAATCCTGAGATATAATAATCAGCAGAGTGAATCCTAGGAATTTTGTTAGCACCAGGATTCTTATTATAATACAAAGTGTGTAACTAATGTTTGTCATCACAATTCTATATGATTTAAAGAGGAGAACTTTGCCACCCTCCTACCTCTTCCTTCCGTATATAATAGGGCGTCCTTCAGAAAGATTCTTTTTTGTTACTCTCAAGGAATTACTAAAAAAGGCAGGGGCAGGCTCTTCTCCTGCCCTAAAGAAATGCAAGGACATGGTATCACATCCTTTCTTAGGCCCCACAAACAGCATTAACCCCTGAGAGGGATCTGCTGGGAAGACCAACTGTGGCTGAACACTATGGACATCATGTTTTTGACAATAGGTTTCATGCCTCATTTAGCATAGAAATAATTAGAGTGTAGTCAACATCCACAGAGCAACTGACTGTCTTTCATGAGCAGAGGAGAAGTAGAGATGGTGGATGTTTGCCTAGTGGCTGAAGCTTCAAATGAAGTACACGTTCGCTTTGTTTTGAGTTTTTTATTATGGTTCCCTTCTTCCCCTTTGCTCATTTAAGAAATGTCTGCAGATCCATGAAGGCTGTCTTTTGCTCTTCTTTCCTTTCTCCTTCCTCTCGATCTTATCCCTGGAAATAATTGTGTGTGCACTGCGGTAATGCTAAACTGCTTCTTCAGGAGGCGCCGTTTATCCATTGTGACAGGTCTTTTGCAAAGTCATTTAACAGTTTTGCCGAGTCAGCCGCTGTGCCTCCCGATTTGTATCCTCCACTGCCTCTTGCTCTTTGCAGCTGAGCTCCCCTGTCTCCGT